AAGAGGATGGGAAGGAACGTGTGGTTCAGTTTTAAATGGGATTGGTGGAGGAAATTTCACTTAAGAAAATATTTATGTCCAAAAGGCAAAGGAACCTCATGCCCAGTGTGCCACAGAGCATTTTGGGAATGGCCCAGATGCCACTGTACCGCTGGAATAGATAAGAGGTGGGGGCAGGACGGAGATCGGGTAGGGTTTCATGGGTAGGGTTAGCCGTAGAATACGTAGACTGCTCTGGGTAACTTCTGAGCAAAGGAGTAACAAGGCAACAGGCATAAACTTGTAGTCAGACTGTAAGCAGTCAATCAGGAGGTTAAGCATAGTTACCCTACCGGTAAGGGCTATTGCCTTTTACTCAGAGGAAAATGGGAAACCATTGGAGAGTTTTAAAAAGAGAAGCATCTTGACCTGATACTGCTTTGACATCACTCCACCTGCTTTGTTGAGGGCAAGGGTTCTGCGGGGGCAAGGGCAGAGCAGGAAATGAGTTAAGGGCTAGTGCAGAAATGCAGGTAAGAGCTGATGGTGGCTTGGACTAGGGGTCGGAAGATGTGGTTGGACACTGGTTATATTTTAAGAGTAGGAGCTAAAGGAATTGCTGATGGGTTGGATGTGGGGCATGAGAAAGAGTATTCAGGCATAACCCCAAGGTTTTTTACCTAAGCAACTGGGGAGGTGGGAAGACCATAGGAGAAGCTGTTTGTTCAGGTATTTGATTTTGGAATTCAAAATTTGGGTTACCCATTTGATGTCCAAGCAGAGATGTTAGTAGGATGTTGGGCATACAGTCTGAAGTTCAGGTACAGATCTGTGCTGGAGATACACCCTTGGGGCACTCTTGGATAGTGGTATTTAAAACTGAGATTGGATGACATCACCAAGGGAGTGGGTATAAATGCTGAAAAGAAGTCTGAGGACTAAGCTTCCAGGCAGCAGTGGCATCTTGGCTGTTCCTCCAACATCTAGGGGTGCTCCAGTCTTAAGACAAGAGATGAGGAAGCAAAGGAGACTGAGTAGGAGGACATCCTGGAGAGTGTGGTGTCCTAGATGTCATGTAAAGAAAGAGTTGGAATACTGATCACGTATGTCAAGTGGTGCTTGTTAGTTTTTAAATGGTAAGTGATACAAATGGTAGTTTAGTAAAATGAGGACTGAGCAGTGACCCAAGTGGAAGTCACTGGAGACTTGCTGAGCAGTTCCCCTTTTGCTAAGAGACAAAAGCCAGTGAATGGTGGGTTTAGGAAGAAATGAGAAGAGGGGATTGGAAACAGCTAGTATAGATAATTCATACAAGAAGTTCTGCTGTAGAGGAAATATTCTCGATAACAAAATTAACATGTTTGCGGTGTTTTGTTTCCTCTCTCTGGTTCGTAACAGCACAAATTATCTATTTAAGTTTTATGGTTGGTCTTCTGTTAAGACCCTTCCTTGTTTACTCTAAATGAAATCAGTGAATAATTTCCTAGTGTAGCTCATACTTCTTATCTGTACATATTAAGCATTTGCTGTAGACTGCCTAGTAAATACAAAGGATAGATTGTTTTTACATAGGATCTGTTTAAGTGTGACATATCCTGGGGTATGTGTAGTCACTATAAATGTTTAATGTTAATTTGGAGGGAGAGTATGACAAGTCAGTACCTATTGTGTTAGAAATCTAAAGATCCCAACTTGTTATTCCGCTGTGTATTTCCACAGCTGTTATGATGGAAAGTTAATTACCTTCCTTTTTGTCTTATAGAATAATGGTTACATTTGTGTCCTTGGGTCAAAATTACTTTAGGATGTAACTTGCCCACAATTGTTGTTTTTGAGCACCTAACACTTAAAACTTAGTGTTTCCCTTGCATACCATTTTGTACCATCTTTCATTAGAAAAGGAATTGGATGTTTGCCAATTCACTCACTTGCCTTTTTAAATCAATGTTTTTCTAATGCACTAATCTGAATACTGTAAAGGGGATTATCTTAGTTCATAGTTTGTATTTTATGCCATCCTTATATAGCAGTTTGATAGTGAAGGCATTGTTTTACATGGGAGCTGAGATTTCAAATCAAAACAAATAAAATATTAACTAATAAATTCTCTCTCTGCAACCAAAATAACGATGATCTTAAAAGTGTTAGAAGTTTTGCTGTAAAGAAGCAAAGGAAAGGCGCATGACTGTGGATGGGGTGGTGGTGATAAAGGATTCAAGAAAGTTTTTCTTTTTAAGACAAGAGAAAAGCATATTTGTATACTAATAGGAATGATCCAATGGAGAGAGAAAACAGGTTGGTAAGATGGCATCTATATAAGATGGCAGGTTGACCTTAGCTGGGTGCATGATCAGTTCGTCTGTAGTAACAGGATGGAGAGCAGAACCATGATGGGTGGATAGGAGCTTTTAGCATCTCTTCTGATACCTTCTGTTTTCTCAGTGAACTGGGAAGCAAGGCAGTGAGCTGAGAGAACAGGTACAGGAAGCACCAGAGGGTTGAAGAGAGGGGTGAAGACTTAATAATCAGGTAGCAGTGTGGGAGAGTGAGTGTGCTAGACTGTGGATAAAATGAGAGTTCCTGTGGCCAGGATTCTCACCTGGCCCTGATTGACTAGCTCAGTGCACACCTCTGGGCAATACATGGCTGTTAACTCTATAAAAAAGAGCTCCGCCCAGTGCTCTGCGTATGACATGGTGGCAGGGCTGCAAGGCTGCAGGAGAGCAGAGCAGAGGCTGGAGTGGTGGCAGCACTGAGGACAGAGGCCCAGAGGACGGCTCTGTGGGATGCTGTGCAGGATGGCTGTGCAGAGAAGCCCAGAGGACAGCTGTGTAGACAGAGGGGCCCAGAGGCAGAGACTGGCTTGCTGCATGTGAACTTGCTCTGAGTGAACGGGATTTTAGTGACTGACCTGCCACTGTGAGAATAAAGTTGGGTATAACCCTTTCACCCCAACGTTTTGCTGTCATTTTCTTCGGTCACACTGAATCCATAGCAAACTTGCCCAGGGCTGAAACCCATTGGCAAGACATAGACAAATCTTGTCCAAATGCTGGGCAGCATTAAGGACCCACGTGGCATTCAGGGTCATGAAGTTGAAACCAAACTGGCTGTCATGGTTGGGTTTTTTCTCCAGCCACACTCAGCTGCTTGGCCGGCTCGGGGTAGACAGAGAGTTGCATTACCAGGGCTGTGGTTTTTCCAGGAGGTGTAATAAAGTGAGAGAGGGGCAAGGGAACGCTTTTCACTGACCATGAACTTTGAGTGAGGTGGAAAGAGGGCAGGAACAAAGGACTGGGAGTCCAGTGAGGTGAAGGATTGTTGGGGTCAGGGCATGAGAAAATCTGACCAAATTCAGTCAGGCTCCTCAGAGCCTTCCTCTGGATTAGGCCTTGACTTTGGCCCCCATCCTTGCTGGGCTTGACTAGACCAGTTGAGAGAGAATCCCCCACCCTTGATATCTATCACCTTGGCCTGTCTTCAGCAAGGATCCTGTTTAGTCTGTTTAGCCAGAATTTCCCTACACTTGGTGTTTCCTCTTAGTAGTTTTCCATTCACTAATCCCTCCTTCTGCTTGTGGCTGTAAATCCCCAGCTGTCTTCACTCTATGTGGAGTTGAGCCTGATCACTCTCCCTGGTTGCAATAGTCTTGACATCTATCACAATTGTCCCGAATAAAGTCGTCTTTACCATTTTAACAAGTGCTAGATGAGTTTTTTCCTTAGCAGGCATATCAGAAGAGGTGAACGGAAAGGGGCGGGCAGTAGCTATTGATAAGGACAAAGTCTAGGCATTCCAGTGGGCATGGTGGAGGGGAAGATCAGTGCAGAAGTGGATTCAAGCAACTGCCAGGCCAGGGTGTTAGAAGTCTCATTAATGTGGGTATTCAGATGATGAAATATTGTGACAGGACTGCTGTTGGAGCGATCCAGGAGCCAAACTCCATGTCCTGGGCAGCAGAACAACCACAGTTTAACTGCTCTGAGACCTCTCCCTGGCAGCAACAAATTTTGGGCTGCTTGGAGACCCTTCCTCTCATAGGGAAATGCTTCAGATAATCTACAGCCAAACAGCAACAGCAGGAAAAATGGTATTCATTTCCTGAGGCTCAACTGACAGTGTAACAAAGGACTGTATATACAAAAAGGACTGTATAAAAGCAATTTATTATTGCAGTTCTCCAAGCATTTTACCAATGAAAAACATAAGTAGCAATAACTACCTAACCGAGTAGTTGTGCAGATTTAGTGCTGCGTACAAATATCTTACTGAACATTCTGGCATTGTTCTCTAGGGCCTATTCATCAAGCTCTCACGGCAAATTCACGCGGGAGGTACTGGTAAATCAATTCACAGACCTTGAAATGTGGCCAGGTGGTGCTGATGTTGATGGTGCCTGTAAAGAGTAAGGCGGGGGTCCTAACTCCCGGAGGTTCACAAGTCCTGTGATTTGTGCTGGACGGGAGAACAAAACATGCGGGAGGCTCGAAGGCAGGCGGCGCAAGGTGCCAACGGACTGTGCCTGCGCCTCCAGGGCTCGCGTGTATCGGCGGCCAATGGCTCCCCCTGGTGGCGCAAGCGAAGGTCGCAGCCGGTAGGCTGAGCCGGGCGCCCCCAATGGGGCGAGGGCTGAGTCTGGGACCTGGGGAACTCCAGGGATTGGAGAGATTGGAGGGGTGGGACCCTGGAACCGACTTGGCCTGCGTTCCCGGCGGCGTACTTGGGCCAGGTGTCCTGGCCCCGCCCACCGCAGACTGCCTCCCGCCGTCACCACACGCCCCCTTCCGCGGTGGCTCCTCCGAGCTTGGGGAGAGGTTCCCTCCACGCAGCGGGCGCTTGTTGGTGCTAGGACGACGCGCGCTGTAGTAGCCGTGGCCCACACCCTACCGGAGTCGCACATTCGGGGGGGCGATCCAGAGCTGCAAGCGGGCGCACCTGGAGTGAGGTGCTCCGGCCCAAGGGACCGAGAGGGGCGGGGCCTCCCATGCACAGGGCGGGGTCGGACCCGGAGACCAATGGGGCGCGTGCTTGGGGGGGGCGGGCTACAGGCCTGGCATCCCGGTAGCCGCAGCTGTCTTTTCCGGCATCCGCGCCTCGTCTTCCCGTAGACGATCCCCGGCTGCCGGGGATCACCCCCGGGCGGCTGCCTCCTCCGGGCTGGTGAGTGCGCGCCCTGCAGCACACGGGCTGCGTGGGGTCGGGGATGCTTCTGGCTGGGCAGAAGCGGATCTCGGCCCCCTCCAGGCCCTCCGGGGTTGAGCGGACGGAAACCGGCGAGGGAGTAGGACCCACCTTGTGTTACCTCCTATGTTTTTGTTTTCGTAGTGGAGGGGTGTGTTTGGGTTGGGAAGAGTTTACGGAGCGCCTCGTGTGGATGGGAGGAATCCAGTGAGGCTGAGAGGAGCTGGCTTGAGGTGGGTCGAGGGAGAGGGTTCACGGAGGGTAAAGCTTTGGAAGATTTTTGGAAGTTTCTTTTCCTGTGGGTGAGGTGATTGCGTGGGGGAGCTGGGGAGGGGTCTCCGGAGAAGGGGGTGAGGAGGGCTTTCTGCCCACAACTCACTTCCCTTTTGGGGGATTTGCTTCCTCTTGTACTGCTCGTTATGAAGGGAGAGGATCTTTGCCCCTTCCCAGAGCCCCTGCCATCCCTAAGCCAGCGATGTGGGGGAGGGCTGGCCCCCAGGAGATGGGCGGGGCCTAGGTACCCAAAAGCTGAGGGGTTTCCAGCGGGCCATTGTCCGGCAGTGGGAAGGACCAGTCTGCTCCCCGCTAACTGTGTGAGTGTGTACGTGTGTTTCTCGCAGCTCTCCCTTTTGGGGAGGCTCTTGGGTGTTTGGTTGGAGGTGTTTTGGGGAGGCTTGGTGGAGCATTTCCGTTCAGCATACTCCTTTGCAGGTCTCCTGACCCATTTGTGGCTTCTTCTGCCTGCTCTCAGCCATGGCCAGCGAGAACTCTCCTCTGCTGGCCTACCGGCTCTTGGGTGACGAGGGGTTTACCGCCCCTGCCATTGGGGCTGGGGGTCCAGGAGCAGCATCTGCCCGGAAGCTCTCCACCTTTCTGGGTGTGGTGGTGCCCACAGTCCTGTCCATGTTCAGTATAGTTGTCTTCTTGAGGATTGGTAAGTGGGGTGAGGGCTTACTTGGGGGTGCAGTGGAGGGAGGGGTGGGGCTGGCATGAGGTCAAGGAGGGCCCTGGGAGAAGTAGAAATGGGTGGATGAAGGGCCTGGAGGGAGGGGGTCTCTGAAACTGTTTAGCTCTGCCCTAGAGATAACTGACAGCCAATGTAGTGGGGGAGGCGTGAGCTTCCCTCTGACCTGCTTTGCGACTCCCATCCCAGGGTTCGTGGTGGGCCATGCTGGGCTGCTGCAGGCTTTAGCCATGCTCCTGGTCGCCTACTTCATCCTGGCGCTCACTGTCCTCTCTGTCTGTGCCATCGCCACCAATGGAGCGGTGCGGGGGGGCGGAGCCTACTGTATCCTTCCACAATGATCGACTGGGCTCTGGGCTTTTGTATCTTGTAGGGAGGGGGCAGAGGCCCCTCCCTCCATCCTGTGGGGAGAAGGGGGTGGGCAAGGGCAGAGGAGGGCAAGTGCTACTGAATGTCCAGCAGGCAGGCTGGTATGGGGAAGGTGACCAACTATCCAGGTGGTGCCACTTGCCAGCCTACCACGTGTCTCCCCAGCTGTCATTCTGCTTCTCCTGATAGTCTTGTCAGTTAGGCAGTATTTGTTTTTTAGACCAGGAACTGACCTCAAGGCATTAGTGATTTGTACAAAGCCACATGGCTTGAGAGTGGCTGCCCTGGGACACACTGCCACTGGAGCAGGCCTGGTTGTGCAGGGACATGAGGCTGCATGGCCAGGTGCAGAGTGCTTTGTGCAGGATCCTTCCTCACGTTCCATTTCAGTTTCTTTTCCCTTAACGCTCACCCCCTGCTTTCACCTTTAGTCATGATCAGCCGGACTCTGGGACCTGAGGTTGGAGGCAGCATCGGCCTCATGTTTTACCTGGCTAACGTGTGTGGCTGTGCTGTCTCCCTGCTGGGGCTGGTGGAGGCCATGCTTGACACCTTTGGGACTGGTCAGTGCTCCCCACCCGGGTGCAGACAGCTTTGCGGGTTTGCAGGGTCTGGGGTCCTGGGATCAGTAGGGAGAGAAGCCCTCTTCAAGAGAAAGGCAAAGTGGTCCATTAACTGGGCATTCTTGAGCTACTTTACTGTGTGCCCAGCCTTACGGAGACATCTGAGTGCTTGTCTGGGCCCACAGGGAGCTTACCCTATAGTTGGAGACACTGTGCTAATACCCCTAAAATCAACAGAGCAAGATTGGTGGTACATACCGCCAGGAAGGTCTGGGATGCTGGGGTATAGTCGAGAGGGGGAGTGGGAGAGATGGCCTCTCTGAGGACAGATAGGCCAAAGAGGGGGTCTGTTCCTGCTTTGAGTCATGGTTGGGGTCCCTCCTGGGGGTCTGACCTTCTTAACTCTGTTCCTTTCTGCAGATTCCACAGGGTCCAGTGAGCTCCGGGTTCTGCCCCAGGGCTATGGCTGGAGCTTACTCTATGGCTCACTGCTGCTGGGCCTCGTGGGTGGGGTCTGCACACTGGGGGCTGGCCTCTATGCCCGCGCCTCCTTCCTCACATTCCTGCTGGTCTCTGGTTCCCTGTTCTCGGTGCTGGTCAGCTTTGTGGCTGTGCGGCCCAGGGACATCCTCTTGGCCCCTCAGCCTGGACCCAATGGCTCCTCCCTGCCACCCCACGTCGGCCACTTCACTGGCTTCAACAGCAGCACCCTGAAGGCCAACTTGGGTGGTGAGCTGGGCACAGGGGTCATGTTGGGGCCAGGCCCTTGGAATGTCCAGATGAGAACAGATGTCAGAGAGAACCAGGGTCAGGAGGCCTGGACCTTAGAGCAGTGCAGGTTAACTTAATCTGTCCAGTGTGTTTGGCCCAGTGGGGCATAAGAGTGGTCATAAGACCATTCCTACCTTAGAGGAACTTGCTGGGTTGGAAAGGTAAGATGTATATTCAGGATACTATTAGTACAATAAGAACGAGACTCAACAGAGGAATCATGAGGAGAATGGGGAAGAGGGCCATCTGAGTATGGGCGGGAGCAGTTGGAGCCAGATATGGCCTGAAGTGGGTTGGGGAGTTTATACAGGAGCAGAGGGAAGGCACCTCAGGAAAAAGCAGGGATGAAGGCCTTGTCGGAGAGGTGATGAGCCAGGGCCAGGGCTGGAGTCTTGGTGAGGTTGGGCTGTGACAGGAGGGGCTGTGGTATGTGAGGAGAGGGTGGCAGAGCAAGCACCTGGATTCCAGGGAGGGATGCTAACACCCCATCCTCCCTGGGAACAATGCCTCCTCAGCTGGCTACGCCAAGGACTACACCACGGGGGCCATGATGACCTTTGCCAGCGTCTTTGCTGTCCTTTTTAATGGCTGCACAGGCATCATGGCCGGGGCCAATATGTCAGGTGAGGTCCTTGCGTGCTGCCACCTCGGGGTGTGGGACTGCCCCTGTGCCCCTATGGGGTGCTGAGGGCTCAGGGACGTAGAGGGTAGTAGAGGGCTGACCTCCCTCCCCCTTCTCTCCTCCCTCCAGGGGAGCTGAAGGACCCCAGCCGAGCAATTCCTCTTGGCACCATTGTTGCTGTCGCCTACACCTTCTTCATCTATACCCTGCTTTTCTTCCTCTCTAGCTTCACTTGTGACAGGTACCTGGGGAGGGGTGAGCCTGGCCCTTGAGGGGGTGGAATCGGGGCTTGGGACTAGGGTGGTACATCTGGATCACCAAGGGAATCAGAGACTGGTAGGCAGGTGCCCCCGTTGTTGGGGTGTTAGGAAAATGGGAACAGTTTCTCCCATTGGAGAGAGATGATACTGCCACCTCTGATGGGAAGGGCTGGCCCAGTAGTGATGCCGGCCCACGGCCAGCATTTGCCGTGTGCTCGCTACTGTTGTTATCCGTGTACCCCTCTTCCCTTCCATCCCCAGGACCCTGCTGCAGGAATACTATGGGTTCTTTGGTGCCATCAGCCTTTGGTCCCCACTGGTGTTGATCGGTGTTTACGCCACGTCACTCTCAGCCTCCATGAGCTCCCTCATTGGTGCTTCCCGCATCCTCCATGCCCTGGCCCAGGACGACCTCTTTGGTGTGTGGTCCCCTGTTCCTTGCTCACCTTCCTGTGTTTCGGTCCCCATGTGGCCCCCAGGTGGCCCAGGCTGATGTGTCTGCTGCGTTTCTGTCTACACAGGAGTGATCTTGGCTCCAGCCAAGGTTGTGACCCGAGGGGGGAACCCCTGGGGAGCTGTGCTCTATTCCTGGGGCCTAGTGCAGGTAAGCCCTCCTTTCAGGCTGTCCGTCCTTTTCTCCTAAGTCCTTCCTGGTTATGCTCACAGGGCTGGGGGTCATGAAGGGAGAGGCACGTCATGCTGGCATTTGGTGGGGGATGCAGCAACACCCAGCCTCTTGGTCCTTGTCCAGCTGGTGCTCTTGGCTGGGAAGCTGAACACACTGGCTGCCGTGGTCACCGTCTTCTACCTGGTGGCATATGCTGCAGTGGACCTGTCATGCCTGAGCCTCGAATGGGCTTCAGCCCCGAACTTCCGGTGAGAGAACAAGTTGCCTGTGTCCCAGAGATAGGGAGGAATGGGAAGGACTCAGACCAAGGGGTGCCGCTGGGGCTGGAGCAGAGTGGCACAGTGCTCAGGGTAGGCCCTGAGTGTCCTTCCTTCTCTCCTCTGCCCCCAGCCCCACCTTCAGCCTGTTCTCCTGGCACACCTGCTTGCTGGGGGTCGCCTCCTGCCTGCTCATGATGTTTCTCATCAGCCCTGGGGCCGCTGGTGGCTCCTTGCTTCTCATGGGCCTGCTTTGTGCCCTCCTCACAGCTCGTGGGGGCCCCAGTAGCTGGGGCTACGTCAGCCAGGCCTTGCTTTTCCACCAGGTCTGGGGAGCATGGAGGAGGGTGGGAGGGGAGGAGGCAATCTGGGAAAACCTACCTTCCAAAGAGGCTTCCACCGCCTTCGGCTGGAGTTGGGGTTTCTGTCTGAGAGGTGTTGAGTGGGGGCTGACCACTCGAGCGTTTGCTCCCCACCACTTCACCTTTGTCCCCAGGTGCGCAAATACCTGCTCCGGCTGGATGTCCGGAAGGAGCACGTGAAGTTCTGGCGGCCTCAGCTGCTGCTCCTGGTGGGGAACCCCCGGGGTGCCCTGCCTCTGTTGCGGCTGGCTAACCAGCTCAAGAAGGGGGGCCTCTATGTGCTGGGCCATGTCACCCTGGGAGACCTCGGTGAGCTGCCCACCCTACCCTGTAGCCTTTCCTCTTTCGCAGGCTGCACCCCAGAAACCTCATGCTTCTTCCCAGATAACCCTTCCAATCAGCCACAGCCCTGCCCAGACCTCTTCCTTCTACACATTTGGGATTTGGGTTCTAGGAGAAAGTCCATGGTTTGGCCCTCACCTGCTGCCTTGCTTCTCTGCAGACTGCCTGCCCTCGGACCCCGTGCAGCCCCAGTATGGAGCGTGGCTGAGCCTGGTGGACAGAGCCCAAGTGAAGGCCTTCGTGGACCTCACCCTCTCACCCTCCGTGCGCCAGGGGGCTCAGCATCTGCTGCAGATCTCAGGCCTTGGTGAGCTGCTCTCCCTGGGCCCCCTTGGCCCCATGCAATCCCTGCTCCCTAGCCCCAGAGAGTAAACCACAGATGGCAGATGCCAAAAGGAGCTTACAATCTAGCACAGATAAGATGTGGCACTCAGAGATAACAGAGTGTGTGATAATGTGTCTGAGGAGATGCTTAAGGAGTAGAATTGGGGTGACTTTTTTTTCTGATCCAAAAGTTGGGGCACAAGCTCTGAAGAGCATGTCATGTTTCTGAGGACAATGGGGGAATTATTTGAGGCTGGGGGTCTCCCCATCAAATCTAGGCCAGATGTTTCTAACCACCCGAGTTCAGAGAAAGGAAGACTGCTACACACTGATGTGGTCGTCAAAGGTTTTGTGACAGCATGGTATCTCAGCAGCCCTTAAAAGGGGCAGGGAAGTAAAAGAGTGGTGTAACACAGCCCCCAGAGACCACAAAGGATGCAGGGTGTGTGTGAGGCTGATGCTTTTGGGTGGAGCAGAAGATTTCCAGCTGTGTGACTGAGTCTCGGTGCCCAGGCCTCTGGCCTTGTACACTAGCTTCCTCCAAATCTGTGCTGAGCCTCCGCCTTCTTTCTCAGTCATTTACTGGTATCAGTGCCTGGTCTGAGGGCATGCTTCCTTCTCCATTAGAATCTTGCTGAAGTTCAAAGGCTGGTAAGCACACAGTTTGGTGTAAATCAGAATCCTGGGAAATGCTCAGAAGGGGGTGTGACTAGTTTAATTTGCAAGATCAGCTGGAGTTCACCGCTGCAGAGAAGTCTGGGGTGCTATCAAGCGCTGTTAGACCTTGGAGCATCTGCAAGCTGAATCTCTCCTCAGCCCCACCTTTTGGCGTGGTACCTATGCCAAGAGACCACTATTTTATGAAGTTTTATCCTATGGAAAATTACTCAAATAAAGGGAAAAGATTTCCTTTACACAGTAAATCCTCCTGGCATGTAAAACTTGATTTACTGGTGGATTTTGAGTGACTCGCTTGTTTCAGAAGAAAGGGTCTTGGAAGAAGTCTCAGAGCTTTCCTGTAAACTCAGCCCTGTTAAAGGGGGGTTATCCAATTCCACATTGGTTGTTCAAAAATGAAAAGCCAGGAGCTGTTGGCAGGGACTTGGGGTGTTGCAGTACATACATCAGCTTAGAGGCTCAGAGAATGGGCTCTGATGCTGGGTGCACTGCATTCACCTGTGGGTGCTGGTATCTACCACCCAAGAGCCTTTGGGTGCATGACTTTTCTGCCATATGCCTCAGGTTCCCTATCCATAAAAGGGAGTGAATATGTAGTCTTGATCTCATAGTATTGCTTCAGATGAGTTAAAGCCCTAAGTGCTTTCAATAGGACGCGGCCCCCTGTTGGCATGCAGATGATAGCCAGTGCTTCTCTGGGGACCGTTTTGGACACACCATCATCAGGGCTTTGTGGCAGTAGAAACAGATTGTGCCAGTTCTCATCATCCCCAGCAGAATCTGGAGTGCTGTTTCCCTGGGGAGTTGAGGCCATGACTAATCAGGGGGTGTGGTTTGCCCGGTGGAGTTAGATTCATCTCCAATCATGAATAAGGTGTGTTGCTAGAAGCTTGGAGTGAATGTATCCTACCACTGTGGACTGCAAGTGCTCATTAGTTAAAAGAATCCTGAGGCAAACTTTACCTATTTGAGTGGGAGAGATTAGTCATGGAGGTAATTCAAATAACTGCATGTGAAAGTGTTTGGGAAAATTTAAAAGTCGTTACGCAACGGTGCATCATGTTGCCCGAAGAGACCAAGCACAGGGTGAATGTCATACTTGATAGCTGACGTGTGTCACTGTCAGCGTGTGTGAGTGGGTGCCTGTTAGCATGGTATAAACTCAGAATGTGAGTCTGATTCCTGTCGGTTCCTTCCTACCTCCCCCCTCTCTGCCCCCAGGTGGCATGAAGCCCAACACGTTGGTCCTGGGTTTCTACGATGATGCCACACCCCAGGACCACTTCCTGACAGACCCTGCTTTCTCTGAGTCTGCTGATGGCACCCAGGAGGGTGGGTCCCCAGCTCTGAGCACCCTGTTCCCTCCACCCCGGGCTCCTGGCAGTCCCCGGGCTCTCAGTCCCCAGGACTACGTGGCCACAGTGGCAGATGCCCTCAAGATGAACAAGAATGTGGTTCTGGCTCGGGCCTGCGGGGCCCTGCCCCCTGAGCGGTTGAGCCGGGGTTCTGGGGGCACCTCTCAGCCACATCACGTAGACGTGTGGCCCCTCAACCTCCTGCGGCCCCGGGGTGGGCCCGGCTATGTGGATGTCTGTGGCCTTTTCCTGCTGCAGATGGCAACCATCTTGGGCATGGTGCCTGCTTGGCACAGTGCCCGGCTCCGGATCTTCTTGTGCCTGGGGCCTCGAGAGGCTCCTGGGGCAGCTGAGGGGCGGCTCCGGGCACTGCTGAGCCAGTTAAGGATCCAGGCCGAGGTACAGGAGGTTGTGTGGGGTGAGGGGGCTGGCTCCGGGGAGACTGAGGAGGAGGAAGGGGACTTTGTGAATGGTGGGTGGGGTGACGCCGAGGCAGAGGCCCTGGCATGCAGCGCCAACGCCCTGGTTCAGGCCCAGCAGGGGCGAGGCAGAGGAGGAGGGCCCGGTGGGCCTGAGGGTGGGGATGTTGAGGAGGGGCTCACCACAGCCCTTACCTTCCTGTACCTGCCTCGGCCGCCCGCTGATCCTGCCCGCTACACCCGGTACCTGGCGCTGATGGAGATTCTGAGCCATGATCTGGGCCCCACGCTGCTCATTCATGGTGTCACCCCGGTTACTTGCACTGATCTCTGATGCTCCATTCCTGAAGTAGAAGGTGCCCAGGCCTTTGGCCTGCCTTGATTAGTGGATGAGGAGGGGCAGGGCCACCACCCTCTTGCGGGGCACATGGGACGTGGAGCTGATGGAGGTATTAGGGGATCCGGGGCTGGGGCACCCTTCTGTCTCTGGGAGAAGGCCCCAGTGCTCTGATGCAGGGGGGCCCTCCTCCTGGCCTCTCTCCTTTCACCGGTGCCTTGACGGGGCTGGGTCTCTGTGCTTGTGACTCTAGGCTACCTCAGTCTCCCCCACCCACCAGGCTCACCGCTCCTTGAGGTTGTGATGTTTTTTTTTTCTGTTTTATTTTTCTAACTCCTGACCGTGAATAAAAGACCAAAACACTAAGGGCTGGCCTGGTTGAGCACTGCTGGTGGGGGTGGGGAGGGGGTGGGAAGAGGCAGAGATCTGTGCGGGGGATGAGGGGGCGACCTGGGTAAGAGGAACGTCCCAGCCGCGGGGCGGCCACGTGCAGGACTTGGGGCGGGCCCGGGGGGACCCGTGGCGACGGAGGCAGCTCTCAGTTGCCCAGACGCGGGCTTCCAAGGAAAGCCCTCCCCCATGGGCAAAAGGGGGCCGACTCCGGGGTGGGACGGCACTTTAGGGCCTCGGGGGCCACGTGACCCTCCCCCAGGAATGTGGTGACGTCACTGGGGGCGTGGCCAGTCCCAAAATTGGGGAGGAAGGGGGGAAAAAAAGGCCAGAAAAAGTTGCTTTCCTGAAGTTCCAACCGAGGTGTGGGACGGAAGACGGGGTCAAGGCCGGAGGCCTGGGCTCTGTGGGGCCTGGCCGCTGCCTGGAGCCCCTCGTTCCAGGCCATGTCGGGGCCCACCTGGCTCCCTCCGAAGCAGCCGGAGCCTGCCAGAGCCCCTCAGGGGAGAGCTCTCCCCCGAGGCGCCCCGGGGCCGCCGTCAGCCCACAGAACAGGTAAGGCAGCCCCAGTGCGGCCTCCCGCAGCCGCCCCGCTCACCTCTGCCTTGGGCTCCTGCCTCTCGCCGAGCCTGCCCCCGACCCTGCCTCTGGCAGCCCTCCCTGCCTCCTGCCCCATTCTCAGACCCCAGGTGCGGGGTGGGGTAAGAGGAGAAGGACCTAAGAGGGTGGCCTCCACAGGTGTCACCCTCCACCCCTTCCCCATCCCTACCTTCTCTCTCTCTTCCCTCACCCCAGCACTCCAGCCCCACCCCAGGGTCAATTTTTGCCCCCTCCCATCTGAGCAGTGTTACCAGGTCCTGGGGGGACCAGAGGATCGGGGGCTGGCCTGGGTGGGGTGCCATGGAGCAACCCAGCGCCCACAGGTGAGAACCGGCATTGGGGGGTGGGGGTGGGGTGCACCCCGGGCAGGTGATTCACATTCTCCCTGCTCTTGTTCCATCCCTAGGGACTCCCCCAAGACAGGGGCGGTTTGCGCCCAGGAAGCCTGGATGCTGAGATAGATTCACTGACCAGCATGCTGGCTGAGCTGGATGGGGGTCGTGGTCATGCCCCAAGGAGACTAGACTGGCAGGTGACACCCTGTCCTGCCCCTGTCTTTCTCCTGCTCCTTGTCCCCTGACCCCACCCTACCAGGCCTGGTCCTTTTTTTGGATTCTCAGCCCAGTTGTGGGGTGGGGGTCCACTACGTGAGCAATGCACTCACCAGGAAGACTGGGTTGTCAGTCTACTAGGTTGAGGGCAGGTCCTTGTCAAAAATCCACACCTGCCTGGGAGTCACACACATGGGGGTTCCCACAGGTGTGATTTCTGGCCTGCTCACTCCTGGTCTGCGTTTCTCCGCAGGCTTATGAAGCCCCTCAGCCCCCTGCCTATCGCACGGGTTTGGGTTCAGGCTCCCTGAAGCCAAATGGAGGGTCTGCTCCTGCCCCGCTGCTCTCAGCAGCTCCCTGTGGGGGCCCCGCTCCAGCTTCCTATGCCACAGCCAGCACTCCCGCTGGCCCTTCCTTCCCTGTGCAAGTAAAGGTGGCACAGCCAGTTAGGGGCTGCGGCCCACCCAGGCGGGGGGCCTCCCAGGCCTCTGGGCCCCTCCCGGGCCCCCACTTTCCTCTCCCAGGCCGAGCAGATGTCTGGGGGGCTGGTTACAGAAGCCACCGAGAGCCAGGGCCAGTGAGTAAAGAGGAGGCTGCAGGAGGAGGAAGACGAGGTGGCTATGGGCCCCAGGTGAGCACCAGGATTGGGTGGGGGTGGTTAATGTCCTGCTTGTCTGAGGTGTAAGGGAGCTGGGGTGCTGGAGAGCTAGATCCCCTGGGGGTGGGGAGCAGGTCAGGAAATAAAGGAGAGAGGGGGCTAGAGCTGCAAACTAGCTCTTTTAGGTGTGCCCCTGGACCCTGTATTGGGACGTTGTAAGATGAACTTTCCGAGTGGAATTGTCTGGACCTCAGGGATTTTGACAGTGTCGGGATCTAGGCATAGGGCTGACCCCATTTCCCACCTTCTAGGTCCCCCTGAGCCAGCCTCCTGAGGAGGAGCTTGAGAGGCTGACCAAGAAGCTGGTGCATGACATGAACCACCCCCCGAGTGGGGAGTACTTTGGTGAGCTGACCCCCCGGGTGGAGTGGGAAGGGGAGGTGGGGCTGGAAAGTCAGAGGGACAGAGGATTCAGCTTCCTAGCCTGTGCAGGTTGACCCTGTCCCTTCCACCTGAAGGTCGGTGTGGTGGCTGTGGAGAAGATGTGGTCGGGGATGGGGCCGGGGTTGTGGCCCTGGACCGAGTCTTCCACGTTGCCTGCTTTGTATGTTCTACGTGTCGTGCCCAACTTCGGGGCCAGCACTTCTATGCGGTGGAGAGGAGGGCATACTGTGAGAGCTGCTACGTGGTGAGTGGTGGGGCCAGATGGGCCGGAGGCAGCAGCAAGAGGCCAGGGCTCCCATCCAAGGTGGGGACTAGATAATGAAGAGGAACAGAGTTCAAAGCGGGGAGACTAAACTGATACATAAGAAGAGAGGAATTAAGTAGCTAAATACTGGCTGTTGGAAAGGAGGACATACCCTTTAAAATGTGACATTGTTTACAATTTTTAGAGTTAAGGGAATGTGTCAAATTTCCTTAACACCCCTCTGAAGCAGATACTACTATGGAAGGAAACTTAAGTTCAGAAAGGTCAAATCACTTAACCAGGAAGCTGCAGTGTTGGGACTTGAACTCGGGGTCTGTTCAAGGTCACCTTTCACTGAATCACATGCAGAGGGCTACAAAAACAGATGGGTGGGCTGGCAGGATGCCTGCTGTGGGACTCTCCATTCCTGAACTTCCTGCCTTCCTTCCCAAAAGGCCACCCTGGAGAAGTGTTCCACATGCTCCCAACCCATCTTGGACCGGATCCTGCGGGCTATGGGAAAGGCCTACCACCCTGGCTGCTTCACCTGTGTGGTGTGCCACCGTGGCCTTGATGGCATCCCTTTCACAGTAGATGCCACCAGCCAGATCCACTGCATTGAGGACTTCCACAGGTTAGGCTAGGTCCCCATCTTTGTCTCAGATCACCTGGCCTTTCCCATCTTTCTCCTTCATGTCCTAGTAGTCCCTAACCTCTGCTGTTTCCCACTCCCGGCCATGCCTCATTTTCATTAACATCCCTCTCTTTCCCAAGATCCCAGACCGTAACTCTGGTCTCTGTGTTCCCTCGCACGTCCCTCGTTCTCTGGGCTCCACTGTTAGTCCCCTGCCACTCTGGGGCTTGACAGCCTCCTTGCTTCCCTTCCACCTCAGGAAGTTTGCCCCGCGGTGCTCAGTGTGTGGTGGGGCCATCATGCCTGAGCCAGGTCAGGAGGAGACTGTGCGAATTGTTGCTCTGGATCGCAGTTTTCACGTTGGCTGTTACAAGTGTGAGGTCAAGTGACCCGGGCAAGGGAAAAGGGGGTTAGGGGGTTTTGGGGTTTTGGTGCTGAGTATGGTAGAATCCAGGGGTCTGGGCCTGATGGAAAGCTGTTTTTTCTTTTCTAACAGGAATGTGGACTGTTGCTATCCTCTGAGGGTGAGTGTCAGGGCTGCTACCCGCTGGATGGGCACATCTTGTGCAAGGCCTGCAGTGCCTGGCGCATCCAGGAACTCTCTGCCACGGTTACCACTGACTGCTGAGTCTTCCCAGATGTACCCGCTGCCTTCTCCCTTCCCGTCGACCACACCGATATCTACCTTTACAACTTTGTCACCAAATGCTGTCTACTCTTCCTCCAGTCATGAAATAATAATCCCTCAAGAGTTTACAAAACACACTTAAGTCTTTGTCTCATCTGATTCTCACAGCAGCCCAATATAAGCACTTGTGATTGATGCCATGTTTAGCGGTCTGTATGTTTAGCTAGGGAGTGACTTACCCAGAGTGCATAGTTCCCAAGTGGCAGAACCAAAATCAGAACTGGGGTTTTCTTGGTCTTTTTTTTTGCAACTGTACTTTGTCACGTAGTTTGTTGTAAAGACACCCCTCTCAGGACTGGGAGCACAGCTGCAGCACGGTGCAGGCAGGCAGTATTTACCATTCTTAAACCTTCACACTTAGTAAGGACGTGGTGTTACCCCCTGGTGTTGGTGATTTTAACCTGGGGCTAGTCAGCTCCTGTCTGTTGATGGAGACCTCAACTTAACGTATCTTATCAAAGTACTGGTTGGAGTCAGACTGAGATTTGCCAGTTTTGCTTAGAACATGGGTGCCTTTGTTGAGGACGAGCAGTAACAATAGGTTTGCAGGAAACGCATACGTAGGCACCAGCAAAAGCTTGTTCTAGGGTGGAAGCATAAAATGGTGGGAGATGCTTTAAAATGGTTGCTCCGTCCCACTAAAAGCCCACAACCACCCAGTCCCTGCCCTGCACGAAGAGCGGGGGCGGGGCAGCCCGCGTGAGGTCGGGAGGCACCTTGAACAAGGTTAAGGGGATGACAGCTGCTCGCGAACTGGTTCAGACCCCTGGCACATCCCGGGTAGCACGGTCTTTGACCTCGGCCGGAGAAAACTCCCTGATAACCAGTGGGCCCTACAGCTCTCCCGAGGCCGCGCTTGGTTCAGCTCGGCTCCCGTAGTTCCTCTTGCCCACGCGCAGTTCCCGTCCCCGAAAGTGCGCGAGTCTTACGGGTCCCCGCCCCTTCCCGTCATTCCCCGGGGCTCCCAGTCTCAGCCTCTGTGGTTTAGTTCCAGTTCAGGCCGCGCGATATGTAGTGTGTGGTTTGCAGTTCGAGGCGCTGTTACGCCGGTGACGCAGGCGCGGTGCGAGCGGCGCGCGCTCACTGCCCATCCTTGGGTGTCCCACTTTCTTCCTGTGTCTTCGGCCCCCTTGCTGAGAGCCCCGCGTCTCCCTCTCACCCTCCTTGCCGTCGACGTCGCACGCCGGAGGCAAGAGGCGGGCCCTGGTCGCCCGGAA